ACCCGAATAGATCAATGGTTATTAATGTACGACTCAGCCGATCGCAGTAGCCAGAAATTCTCTCAGAATATCAGTGATGCTGATTCTCCGAGCTTAAAGCTTGCTAAAGTACATGACCGTGAGTCCTTGAGAATTTTTCAACATAAGGATTTGCGCCAAGTCCTGTTAAGAAGAACTTTTAAAATTATTCAATCAGATTAATTGTGATAAATATTTCAAAAACTAAGAACTCAGCCATTATGGACGTACTCGCCACAAACCAAATAAACGCTAAATCTCTATGGCATTACATTTAAAATCACCCCTGAAATCCCAGACGTTAATCCATTCGTCCGGGCTGTCAGTGTCTCAGTTATGAGGACAGCTATTTGAGAAAACGTTTCTTGTTTCGCTTGCCCTGCCGGCTTTTCTTCCTTCTGTGATTTCTTCTTTTTTCACTCAAACTAAGAGGGGACCCGGGCATCCCGGGCCCCTCCCCTATATCCGCCACTGAAAATAGCGAAGAAACGGACGATACCTTTCCGCCTTTTCTGTGTATAAGTGAACGTGAACGAAAAGGAACATTTCCGACAAGAAACGAGTGAAATCTAATCAGTCTTCACTTCTCTGTGTCTTTTTTTTTCATGGAAGTCAACAGGAGAAACACTGGAGAGAGAGCCGAAGAACTTTTAAATCACGGTAGATTAAGGTTGTCATCAATTTTCTGTATGAATTAGGGACAGCAGTGAATAGATTTTTGTTATCATGAACAAAGGGACAGAAGAATCTGATGTAAACTGGGACTGAAAATACTAACTAGAAGGAAACTTGTATGTGGGGTAGCGGGGATAAACTTTTACTTGAATGCATTCAGTTCAAAAGGGTTAAACACTGCTTTTTAATTATCACGAACTTGATAGCAATGGCCTGCTTTTGTTACAATACAACCCTAGAGATTAACAAGAGACACTCAGCAACAAGTTGTTGCTGAGCGTCTCCGATAAAGAATTCACACTCTGAAAATTCATAGGCCATCATTGATTAATGTTCTCAAGTCTCGAAGTGTCCTCTGAAACAAATCATGCCGGGAATTTCTCCCTGTTTCAGTTGAATTATTTCTCTTGGTGTTCTCAGTAGTAGTATTTTGTAGCTGATTTAGATTGACAATGGTCACCGTGATTCTTCGCGGCCCTTCACGACGTTCGATATCAGGAGACGATGATGTTAGTCTTTTTGTCCGTATTTAAAGTTTCAGGTCCAGGTTATCAGAAAACCAGGTCTAGTCGATTTTTTTGAAAAAATCTAGAGATTAATTGCTCATCAATCCTACTGCTGGCAACCGTGTTTCGCATAGCTGACGGGCGCCGTGTTCATTGTCGATCTTGGTGGAAGCCTGGAAACAAGTAGCGCGCACTATGAATGCTGGGACCGCACATGTTTCGTTCTTTTTTCCGCCATCTTTGTTTTACAGGAGTTGTTGAGTTGTCTTGGAAAGGTGAAAACATCATTTCTTTCGTTCAGATCCGCGTTGAAGTTAACATACCATTTACTGAAATATGCACTTATTTATCTGGCTCATTTAGATCATAAAATAAAATGCAGAACGAAGCAGGAGAATACGTTGATATGTACACTCCAAGAAAATGGTGAGGAAAGTGTTAAAGAAATAAAATTTCCCATATTTGTTGTCTTTTTGTTGTGATTTTCTATAGTTTAGGAGAATCCTCAAGTTTTTTTTGTATGAAATCGTTTTTGAAAAAAACACTTTTTTGTAGAACGCACTTTTTTTAAGCTTATAAAGTTGATCGAAACACGGGTGCTTATAAACCTACTATAAACTTAAATGAATTCGTTTCATTCTGTTTGCAGCTCTGTCACTAATCGTGTGATAGCGGCCAAAGATCATGCTTCAGTTCAGCTGAACATTGGGGAGGTAAGTAGAGAGATGCTGCTTGTGATACATGCATGAAAATCCAAGAAATAATTCAGCAGCGAGATTCAATGTTATTACTCATGTTTTCATCTCGGGATGTATATGGAGCTACACTTGACAATAAGTCTTGCAACTTAAGTCACAGACAAATATGGGAGAGGCTTGTTGACCAGTTATACTTAAAATGATACATATGACTTTTATACCTGCCAACTTTCTCTGAATCACAGGCTTGAGATATTTATCCCAGGAAAGCTTGTTTGTAAGTCGTGAGTTTTCAGACATGATGTCTGACTATACCGTAAAATTAGTTGGGCAATATTCAAAATTTGGTGAGCCAATGCCTGATGACTGACTGCCATTTCCAGCACTGTACTATGAAGCTCACCCAAGTGTTGTCCATTGTGGGTGTCAAAAGTGTGAAGCTGGCTGTTGTGAGAGCAGAATGCAGCCTAGACTTAGTGTTTAACTAACTGTTAAAATCTTTCTCTTGTAGATTGACGATACTGGTCGATTCACTGGCAGTTTCAAGACATATGCTTTGTGTGGAAACCTCAGGCAGATGGTAATACCTTTTAATAAGAGCTAATGTTTTATCAATAAGATGTTCAGTAGCATTAGATATGTCCGAAATCCGTAGTTGGCGTTACGCATTGTGTAATGTGTAGAGTGTCTGGTCACGTGTTTCGCTTCAAGTTAATTGACAGATGAGTCATGTACTAGAGAGAGAGAATGTTCTAGATATTGACTGTCAAACGTGAGAGAAAGTAAGAATGTTCAGGAAGATTTTTTACCTCGATAGTTCAAGATTGTACTGAGATTGTCAAGATATGCAGTCCTCAGACAGAAGGAAATAAAGATTGTGAAGCCCACAGAGGTGTTAATTTCTACAACATCAATTCATAATCAAACCATAATGGAAAAATCTGGTCAATATTTTTCACAGCACATAGTTGCATTTGGTCAAAACCTTTTTGAGAATGGGGCTTCATTTTGGTACGAAAAGGAAAAACATGCCAGTTAAGACAAGTTCTCTTTTCCATTTAGGTTAATATTAGATTTAACAAATGAGTGAAAGTAAAGTGTAATATAGGGGATTTACTGGTCTAACAGTATCAAGGTTAAGACTGACACGAATTAGGTATGTCCAATTTCTTTTATCCAGTACTTACAGTTTTAAGATTTTCATTTTGTATCTTGAGAGCTGTAGGCCATTGTGAAAAACAGTCTATGTGTCCAGCCCAGAATACTTTGTAATGATAATATATTTTATGGTGCTTGCTGAACTAGGGCTGTCTGTAATGTCTTGAAAGCCACCCTAATTGAATAGTGTGTTATTTTCAGTTAAAAAAATTTGCTTTTTTTATTTTCTGTAGGGTGAGGCTGACGATTCACTGACAAAGATTTGTATAAGGGATTCTATTATAAACAAGTAAGTTTGCCTCTATGGGTTACTTTTGGGAACTGATTAGCAAAAATTTACTTATGAAACTTTTGATGCAAAATGTGAAAGAAAAACTCACAATTCAACCTCAAGGAACAAGGCAAAGAAATGAACAGAATGCATGTGTCTTGACAACTTACAGGTCTAAAGTCACACAAAGTAAGCTAGGATATGGTAGAAGAATATATTTTCAAAGTATATTGTAAAATAAACTTGAAGTCCATGTTTAACAAGTGCAGGTTAATACATAAAATACCAACCACTACAAGAGGAAAGTCACTTGCTAATTTAGAGATTTATATTNGCGCTTGTTCGATTTTGAAATCACGCGTATGATTTCAGACCAAATTGCACTCCACTCAGTTCAATTATCATTATTTATTTTAATGTGATTTCATGCTTCATTTCCATTACTGCATTCTTTAAATGCAAGGATAAAAGTTAAGTTCTATTAAATTTTCAATGTTGATTGAATATGTTTGACTTAGATAAGAAGCACATGAGAATTTGTCCTGCATGTCAGGCACATGGCGCTGTAAGCTAACAATGAACAATGTCTTTAGTAATAATTATCCTTTTCTGTTTTTTTTTGTTCTTTTTACAGGAACTATGACTCTTGAAGTGAAATAAAGAGAGTGTTCTGGCTTAATAAATAAATGAACTCTGAAGTGAAGTGATCTGTTAATGGTTTTCTTTAATAGCGTTTTCTTGAATAATAGTAGCCCTTACCCCAACTGCTCTGCAAAAGGCTTTAGCTGATAAAACTTAAAAAAAACCCTCAAAAATATTGACTTTTTTGGATGTCACAAGCCCATCTAGCTTTTCAGCAGGCAGGTGATAAGAGTAAACAAAATCAAACAACTTAAGATATTATGGTGATTTATGACAAGTTTTCAGTTTAGGAATGAAAGGGAGGGACAGAGTTTTCCCCTTCCACTTGTCATGAACTCTGTGCGTTTTCTATTATAAATATTATGCAGTGTTTCAACATTCTTTTGATTTCTACCAGTCAGGGAGGCCGTTTCCTACCTCTCTACCCACCTGTTGAAGATTCCCCCAGTCACTTCCTCCACAGGAAGAGGTTATGTTAAAACAGTTATTAGGAAGGTGACCTAGGTTTATTACAAACTTATTACAAAGAGGGTGGTGCTAAGCGTAAATTGCGAAACACTCTCCAATCGACAAAAGTCAACAGAAAGTTCATGAAGAAGACTGAAGTTATGGAGGATCCTTCAACCGGTGTTCATGATGGAGAAAGAAGCACGTCTTTTTTTCACATGCACTGGAGCCTTCAAAATTCTAATCCAGGCACTCGGGAAGGTTCAAACTCTTGGCGACGAGGTAGACGTTGTCCGCGTTGTTATTTCACAGGCAGAGTACTCTCTGTGTTGGTTTATGAGGGTTATGAATAAAGTTTTGAAAATTGCACATCTAAATTACATCTCGGTCTGAATATCCCAATAAAGTTACATGAAACGTTAATCGACTTAGGTGTTGTGCTTTTTCTTTTCACGAAATTAGAGAGAAAAGGAGACTATCTCCCCCTCTTGTCTTATCGCTGCTTACAGGTCCGGCTAAAAGTAATTTCGTGAAAAGACGCTTCAGAAGGCCCAGGAAGGTGACAAAGCATCACACAGGAGTCGATTAACATTTCATTTAACTTTATTGGGATATTCAGACCGAGATGTAATTTAGATATGCGATTTTCAGAGCTTTATTCATAACCCTCATAGATTCTGTTCGTTTCATATAAAGAATTATCAAACACGAACACACAGAGTGGTTTGCCTGTGGTTATTTACTTGGAGAAAAACAATCATTTCTCTAGTCCCCGTAAAATTTCCTGCTAAAGGTTTGGAAAACAAAAAGTAGGGAGAAGAGAATTGTTTTTTCAGTCGAAATGGAAACAAAAATAAAGAAAAAAATTTTCCAGTTTTGGTCCGTGAGAGGCTCGAACTCTCGACCTCGGCGTCGCTGTAGGACTCAGCGTCCCGGTGTATCAGCACCGCGCTCTGCCGACTGAGCTAACGGACCATTGGATACAATGAGAGGAACTCTTAAAATATAAAAATATTACATTAATCCAAACGATTATACATCTGTCAAACTTAAGAAAAATTTATATGCCCAACTTGTTCTTTCCGTGATGTTTCTTATTTCCGTGCCAAAATTTCAAGCGCAAAGCGATAGGCCGATGGTTCGGAGTTTAATCTGGGGTAAGGGTTGATTAAGCCGTGCCCAGGCTCCTCATGGATATGCCCGGCACTAGATATTTTTCAAAACCTAATGGAGAACGAAGCGTAAACTGCGAATAGCTCCACCGCCTTCTCTTCTTTTCTCATTTCTTATTCACGCGTTGCATATAGGCCATTTCGAAATTGCACAGAGAACTGGGGCGAGTTTCAAATTGTAACCAATCGATAAACGGACACCACTACGTGAAAGATCACGTTAAGAGTAGTCATTTGACCAAGTTTGATGCTTTTTGGGTGAACAGAGACTTAGTTATAGACCTTTAAACATGGTTCAAAATCCATTCAAATGTCTCTAATGTTGAGACCACGTCCCCTAAAACCATATAAACTCTTAAAATTTTTTATGATTTCTGTTATACTCTTAAAAATGGGCAAACATCTCAGTTTCTTTCAAATGGTGAGTGAATGACAGGATTTTACAGTTGTCACAAAACTGATAAAAAATTTTAAGAGTTTATATGGTTTTGGGGGACGTTCTCTCAACATTAGAGATATTCCATTAATTGTATGGATTTTGACAGGAGCCATAATCGGGGACTCCGTCATGTTTCAAGGTCCATAACTTGGTCTCTGTTAACCCTAAAAGCATCATACTTGGTCAAATGACTACTCTCAACGTGATCTTTCATGTGGTGTCAGTTTATCGATTGGTTAGAATTTGAAACTCGCCCCAGGTCCCTGTGCAATTTTGGAATGGCCTATAATCCCGCTCACTACATTCAAACAGTTGTGGCTGGAACGCCATAGAACGTGAACGGAACAGATTAACAACTCCGCACCGCTCGATCGTCCTCTACTCTCTACTCTGTAAATAGTTATAACTTTATGTAGCTAAAGTATATAAATAGTGTCCCCAATTAGCTTTTGTAAGCTAAACATCATTGACACTTAAATAAAGTCTTTCCTTCATTCATTCATTCATTCATTCATTCATTCATTCATTCATTCATTCNACTACATTCAAACAGTTGTGGCTGGAACGCCATAGAATGTGAACGGAACAGATTAACAACTCCGCACCGCTCGATCGTCCTCTACTCTCTACTCTGTAAATAGTTATAACTTTATGTAGCCAAAGTATACAAATAGTGCCCCCAATTAGTTTTTGTAAGCTAAATATCATTGACACTTAAATAAAGTCTTTCCTTCCTTCGTTCATTCATTCATTCATTCATTCATTCATTCATTCATTCATTCATTCATTTATTCATTCATTCACTCTCTACTCTCTACCCACTATTCTCTACTCTCTCTGTTTCAGATAGGCAGGTTTAGATAGGGGAAGACGGTATTTCTATAATTATCTTTAAGACCCCTTGGGAAACAGTAACCTTATCAACCAAGACAAACTTAATTTCCAGTAAGCCACTAAACTAACACAAAGCTGCTTACAGTCGGAAGTCTTATATTATTACGAGTTCCGGTGGCCGTGTATTTCAGGAGATCTGTGCCTTACTTTCTCACGGGTCTAAGTTATCGGCAAGATGCTATTTTTAACGTCTATCTAATTTTCTAATTTATTGTTTACTGATCTTTTGATTTAGCAATATCATGGATTTTTCGGCCCTGTACAAGTACTTTTCAACGACCAGTTGCTATAAAAAAAGGTTTGGGTGAGTTTTGAGTGGTTCAATTCTTGAGCACAATCCGGCATGTTGATGTACGGAGAATCTTGCCCACAAAGTGGCCAGTTCAACTCACAGCTACAGCATTTTGAAGTTGTACTTGTAACCACGCGTTAATCTTTAAAGATTAGTAAAAATTTCATTTCCCAGGGATTTTTTAAAATTTACCATTATTCAAATTAGTGACTTTTAAAGGAATCACTTCCTCACTAAACCGGTAGGTTTAATTTGACCTCCTAACACATTGTTCCCTTTCAGCAGTTCAGTTCAAGAAGATCACAAATTAAATCTCGAGAGCAGTAAACATGTAATCAAAACGTTATGTTAAACTGACGATGCGGATAAAAAAGTCACGAACTAGAAGCACCTTGTGTCGATCATTCAAATTCTAAAAATGTGTGCGGTCATGAATGGCAATTAGTAACAAAAATTGAGATTTCTAACAGTGGTCGTTTCTCACCAAACTGAATAATGTCCTTAGTCTTTGCTCTTTTCAGTTCTTTTGAATAAAAAGCTATCCGTGTAGCTAATAATTTCTTCTGTTACTACAAGTCACTGTTTTGACCAGTGCTGATCATCTAACCAGTGTCTAGCAGTGCGGCTGCCGGTTAAACATAACAGCCCATTATTCTTAACGAAATTCCCATATTCTACACACAAATTTCTTTCGTCTTGACTGAATTGTGAAGGAAATACTAGTAGTCAGTGTTAGATGGATTAAATGCCACCCTGGCTCGGCTTTTTTTCACGGAAAGAGTCAATCAGAATATTCTGCTGTTATTACTTATCTACCGTCTGAATTGAATGTTTACTCTGCGAATCATGTTACCATTCAAAATCCCGTTAAACACAGTTTTTCGGAAGTGAGAGAAGCTTCAAGCCTAATTGTCGTGTAGCACTGTCATACTATGAGAAATATTGCCGTAAACAAAGCGATTAACGATTTAAGACTTCAAACGGCGATTATTTATACTTATCACAAGTCTGATTAAAACAGCACAGCCTCGTTCCTAGGAGGTCCTAGGTTCTTTCGGCTTTCCAAGTCTAAGATGGAAGCTGCAGAATTTTGTTGATGTTACCCGGGATGTTACCATGTGATTGATTCGGCATCGCCCAAGAAGTAGGTGAGGCTTCCGCTAGTTATTGACGGTATATTGTAACTTACTCTACTTTGACGGTTTAAGGCCGAACACAAACACAAGACTGGAAATTAAACGTCAAAACCTACAATTTACGGGCGTTTACTGGAGTTCCGGCGTGTTTTTTCATACTTTTTACATTGACCTTATATTATGCGTGGAATTCGGCAATCTTATCTATGTATTAAGCATTATTAGATTATGCACATCTATAAACCACTCCACGGTCACATCGATTTGCAATGAACAAACTAATGACAAGTAAGGGAAGTTGGAACATTGTGCTTTACTCTGCACTGAAAAGTTGTGGACTAGAGACGAACTCAGTAACATTTCTTTTTGTTGGTTTAGTAACACAGGCAACATCTCCATTCAATATTAATGACAACAAGTCGGTCAAAAACGTATCATCAAAAAATGAGACAGTAATTATTAAGCTCTGGGAACAAGTGGGTTTATGCGAGTGGGCAATTTCGTGTAGAAACTTATGACCTTATTGACCTTATCAGACAAAAATTTTGCCAACCAGCGTGAACACTACACACAGCCAAGATACAAATACCGATAGCATTAAAACTTTTAGCACTTTATTTCCTGCCAATCATGTGGTCCAGTCCTCTTGGCGTTTTTTTGAGACAGAACATTGAACTTTGTGGTTTAAATTGTGAGGGATAAACATTCCTGCCACTCTTGTTCCTGCTTATTACTGCGCGATTAAAATTGAGGTTGAAACTTCAAACTTTCCGCTCCGCCCATCGCTGGAGTGAAGGCGTCATGATTCTTAATTTTCGGCATGCGCGTGTGTCAGTGCCAACCGATGACTGACGTTCTTTCTAATCAAAGCACAAGGCGGGGGGAACAGTCTAAATCTATGCCATATTTCGACACCTTAAATGAGATGAACAGCCTTTCCGCACCGTACTACTGTACACGTGAACATTGTAGGCAACAGTATTTGTTTCAGGATCTCAAGCAAAGATTAACTAATACGATGCACTGCTGTATATATAGATAAGGTGATTGGAGGGCTGATTGGAGACTTCTTGAGCTTAAAATGCCATTCTCGACCACAAGTACATCGTATCATATTTTGTAGAATCGTTCTTATCAATTCATAAATTGAGAACAACATTAATTTGTCAGAATTTGTAATCTTTATTTTAAGACCCTTTAATACTGTAGTGTGTGTAGTGATGTTCAGTTGTTACAGGCAATTCTGTCGCTTATAAAATTGCCTTTAAATTGAACAAACCCTAAAAATGTGTGAGGGCAGAAAACGAAATGTTTGAATAAAGTCGCGTGCAGAGCAGAGCGGAAAGATGAGAAAGGATTACGACAGAAATCAAAAATAAGACAATTGTTAGGAAAACGTGTTCTGTAAAGCTCTCAAATCCTGCTTGATTCCTACGCACATTCCATCAGTTAGAATAAATATTGCGTTTCTGGTTGACCTCTCGGAGGTACAGAACACTGCACCGTGTTTAACTTTGCAAGTACTTTTTGCATATGTTTACACAATTTATACTAGGCTTTTTTAACGATTAAGAGTTAAAATAATTTGAAAGAAGGAAAGGGTCATACAGTCATCTTCTAAAATAAGGAATCGGAAACGACCTCTCGGCATGACGAGGTGGCAGGCATAAACTGCACGTTTCGTGACAAATGAAGATTATCGTAGAAATGCAACACCTTTTCGACTCTGTGGGTTGAATAGGACTTCCGATTAAGACTGATGATTGCTTATATAGCAAGAATGTCAAAGTCTCAGACCAGTTTTCGCGTCAACAAGTTTGCGTGCGAGTGACGCTGTTTTCGGTTGATGAGTTGTTTGTCTTTGAAGTAGAAAAACAAGGCTCAAATTAGATAAACGCTAATAAGGGTAATAGCTAAACCTCTTAATTCTAAAAAGAAACGTCTTGGTTTTCATTAATCAAGATTCAAAGCACTAAAAGGAGGCAGCGATCCAAGACAGGACTCAGTTGAAGAGCAGCTACTGGTAGCAACATGGACGAGAGAGTAACACGACAAAAGCAGAACAAGAATACAAGAGTGAGAGGTAACAAGATGGCGACCGAAGGAAAAGACATACAAGAACTGGCGAAAAGAAGAAGAAGTAGAAGCAGACAAACAGAGGTCACAGCTGCGGATTTCTCGTCCAATAATTCTGTCAACGGTAAACGAGACAAAAGGACAAACTTTGTTTGCGAGCAAGAGGAGAATTCCCGAGAAAACAAGGTGAAAAGAAGAAACGACCAAAGCCGCCGATATGGAATGATTGTAGAGGACATTTGCATCGATATGGAAGACATTGTTTATGACATTCAAAATGGCAAGCTTTCACTCGAGGCACTGCCTAAGTTGGGACTATTTCCTTTACACGAAGCAGTCGCTCGTGGTCTTACAAAATGCGCTGAAAGTTTGATAGGACTGGGACTGCAACTGACAAGTGAAACACCTGATGGACTCACACCGTTAGAGGTAGCTGTAATGGCGGGAAATTTTGACGCGGCTGCCTTACTCATTCAGTATGGCGCTCCTATTGACCGCATTCGAGATGGAATCCCTCGATTTATTTAACAGTATAATTTTTTTCTTATTTCGGATTATTTTGCCTGTATCGGCGTCACTAAAAGTATCAGTTGTAAAAGCTTTCAAAAAGTTCAATTGAATATAGTTGTTCTTTAACAGTGCACTTAATTTTATTCTATTTTATTGGAAACAAGACAGACTGCTTGTAAGCATTGTAGAGCATGTGATATCTGATCTGAAGCCTGTCTGCTCATTTTGGAACACAGGTCACTGACAAACCTCCTACAGTCAGTAACCTCTGTTTCTAGCTAGGCATTCAATCTGCATCCAGGAGCAGCCCTTCGATTGGATAGTACGTTCTGTGTTCCTCCTCCAGCTGATACGTGGTCTCCCACTCTCTCCGGGGTAACGCAGATAGTTGGTCTTTCAAGTGTATGGTCTATCCATGTAGACTAGAGCATGTGATAAGCGGCAGCAAATTAATGGCACATCGCGGCAAAGTCAAAACTTTCATCTATATTGTATTTATTAAGATAATAAAAAGTCATTTTCCGACATTATTTCTTGCTTATTTTAAAAGTGTTGTGTAAGGGAAATTATAATAGATAAAAGGAACAGACAAATCTGCTTATCTGTAAACAGTGACCAGCATTTAAATCAGTCATACCATTGATAGTTGAGATAACGATCACCAAACCGCATTGGTTTGGCAGAATCGGAGAATGAGTTTCACACTATATATCCTTGCTTGTTTTTGACGCCTTTTCAAAACGTTTAAGACCAATGATCATCCTTGGTTCAGAAGGTAAAGAAGTCCTTTAGACACAGCACAGCATTGCGTTGTTTTGTTTAAATCGACAGTGGACATGTTATGTTTTTAATACCTTAGTATGACGTACGTAGAATGAACAAGCTACAAAACTCGAGATTCTTTCAAAATTAGCTTCTCGCTAGTATAAATAAACATTGTCACAACACCACAAATATTCTTTGCTGCTTTATTACGTGATAGCGGTACATTAAAGTGTATTATAACGCTGTTTCATACTCCTCGCAGCCATTTCCCTTCCCAGCCTATGTTCACCTCCCTGCATGGTGCTTGTCTTCACGATCTTCGCTTCCTCACAATCGCTGCTCCATCAGGAGCTTTAACATGTCTAATGAAACAAGTCAAACCTTACGTGCTGTCTGCTTGGTCAACAGCTGCGCAGGGGAAGTGAGCCCACGGTATTGGCAAGGCAGTTTCCTTCCTCGAGAGAAAGATTTCCTTGAGAACTGCAGCACGAATTCTGACTTCCTTTAATTCCAAAGTGGCTTTCCGTTTACCCTCAATAATTGCGCCAATGATCCTTTTAATTAAATTTTAAAAGAATCGTAAATTAAATCGTCAATTTAATAGTCAATTTAATATAACGTAATCCACAAAATAAAAAATACCAAGAGCCTATAGCGTTGCACTGGTGTTCAGAATTAAATAATTGACTATTTAATCATTACTCGCACAGAATTCTTGGTCTGTGATAATATTCACTGATCTCCTTTGTTGACTACGCACACGTTAATGAAAATTTCAATGCATACTTCTTTTTCAGAATGTTCGATTAAAGCTGGTGATGATAAAAGAAAAATATTTTCATTATTATACCGTCAGCCGTGACTTGTCTTCATGGTAGTGTACATGTATATTGTTTAGACACGTAACAGACAGTAAAATATTAAGTTCTTTCGAAACTTTCCAGGCCGATATGTAGTCAACAAAATAACAGTGACGACTTCTAAATAGCTTTCCCATGTCAAAAATTTCAAATAGTTACACAGCAAGGCTAATACGAGGCTTAAGCGCCCCACACAAACCACATTTTCCAGTTAGCGTCACCTTACAATAATGAAAGGTTCCGTATCAGAAAATAACCACCTCATCAATAATTTTCATTCCGTGCCAAGTCACGAAGCCCGGTCACGATATAAGGATTGGAAGGAAAGAATTTCACAGATATGG